CCCGCTGGCCTTCCGGGAGCCCACCACCGCCAACTGGATGAAGGAGTCGATGGGGGCCAGCGAGTGGGAGGTGGGCCTCACCTGGCTGCCCGCCTTCTTCCCCCACGTGCTGGGCGTCTACGTCACCGTCCGGCTGGCCGCCACGTACCCCCACCTCCAGTGGTTTTACGGGGCCCTGGGCATGGCCGTCATCGGCGCCAGCTCCTGCCTGGTGCCGGCCTGCAGGAATTTCGGGCAGGTCATCGTGCCCCTCTGCGGCATCTGCTTCGGCATCGCCCTGGTGGACACGGCCCTGCTGCCCACCCTGGCCTTCCTGGTGGACGTGCGCCACGTCTCCGTCTACGGCAGCGTCTACGCCATCGCGGACATCTCCTACTCGGTGGCGTACGCCCTGGGGCCCATTGTGGCCGGCCAGATCGTGCACACCCTGGGCTTCGCGCAGCTCAACCTGGGCATGGGGCTGGCCAACGTGCTTTACGCCCCTGTCCTCCTCTTCCTCAGAAACGTCTGCCAGATGAAACCCTCTCACTCGGAGAGGAACATCCTCCTGGAAGAAGGACCCAAGGGACTCTACGACACCATCAAGATGGAGGAGCGCAAAGGCGTGGGCAAAAGCCTCCGGCCAGCAGGCGAGGTGGAGGAGAACGGCGTGGACTCGTACCGCAGAGACCTGGCAGGGGTGTCCGAGGAGGACTCATCGGACTATGAGTACAGTTAGGTTCCTCCACGCGGCCGAGCCCCAGGAGCAAGGAGGGGCGTGTGGGACAGAGGGAAGGGTGGGAGGGGGGGGATGACAGCATTATTGCATTATGTTTCCGTACCGACGTGCAATATATACAGTTTAACCTTTGTCATGATGTAATGGCTTTCTTCTTCTAGACTCATTTTTAATCGGTATTTCCTTCAGCGTCCTGGCAAGGTGGAGGGGGTGGGGAACGAGGGGACAAGCCTAAAGAAAATCGTCTGAATAATCATTGGTGTAAATCTGGAGGGGATCCTTCCAAAAAAAAAAAAAATACACCAATGACAAAACAAAACGAAAGACCCAACAGCCTTGTAGCTGGGGTACGATTGTGCAAAGTTTTCTAGAGCTAAAGCTGTGTGTGACATACTGTATATCTCTGTAAAAAAAAATATAAGAAAAGCAAAAAAGTCTGTGTAAGATTTTGAACGGCGTATTCAGGGACTTGGTAAATCTTGTGTACATATACTTTAGATTTTCGGTTGGAAGAGCAACGACTGTCACCATGTCTTATTCTTCCTTGGGAATAAACTGAATGTTTTGCTTTTTTTTTTTTTTTTTCTCTCTCTCTCTCGTGCTGCTCTCCGGTAAGTGCAATATGCTGTGTTATGTCGAAGTCCAAACTAGGAGAATAATACCATCCGAATAAACAGAAGTGACAGGGATCGATTGTCTTTGTTTCATTGCTGAGGGCTGCTTGAGGGAGGGAGCCGGGTGCGCTCAGTGTAACCCCTACGGTAACAATTGCTCCTGACACAAACCTCACCCGTCACCAGAATCTCCCAGGAGAAAACCCCAGTCCAAAACGTCCTCGTTCATTCCACAAAACGCGTGTTAACGGGACCGAGCAGACGACCCCGCGCTGCGGACGTGCCACCCGCCGCCTAAACCCAGCTCCTGGTATTCTCACCAAAATTTAATTTTTCACTCTCACACACGCGTGGATTTCAGTTTTGGAGTGCTCCGAGCGTGGCCCGGCCGTGCCCACCCCCGACAGCAAACGGGGGGTGAAGCCCCCGGCCGAACCCCGGCCAGAAGCGGAAACCTTCGGTCGGTCCGACAGCAGCGGAGCCGCAGTGAATTTATCCCGGCATCAAAGAAAATCGTTTTTTTAAATTCCAGGCTCATTAGGAAACAAAATTTATAACTCGCAGTCTCAAGAAAGGGGGGGG